CACATACGTTTAGGACAACGTATAACATAACATGTCATATAATACAATATATGATGATATTAAAACCATCAAATTGTTACTATATCATGCATGGTATACACTTCCCAATACGTATTGGAAAATATTGCAATACGGTTTTGTCGTATTGCAATATATTGCAATACGGTTTTTGGTCGCAATACTCACCCCTACTAGTCATGCACGATTAGTTATGCACGCGGAAGTGAATTTCAGATGATTAAATTTCTAAAATTCTAGATACCTATAGACACATGTCTTAGCTATACTCTCTGTAAATATTGAGTTTATTGACGCACGATTAGTCAATATATTAGCAAATATATGCGTACCGTAATCTCCCGTACCGGCTTGAATATAGACACCGCCCGAATGGAGCCGCTGCGGTTCAAGGATAGAGATGATGTCCCGATTGAGACCTATGTCATTTCCGTAAATGTGGGGGTAGCCCCTTTAAACTCGACAGGGGTGTTCTTGAAGGTCTTCTTTGTTCATTTTGACCGAGAAACATTATGTGACTTCACAGGAAGTGTGCAAAAAACTGCCTTTCAGCGAGACTACTCGCCCGTTTCCCACTGTTTCTCAACATTGCTACGCCGGCGTCTTCGTTCTCCTGATTAATTGCTGTTAGCCATCTGTCTTTCCTCTCGGGCTACGGCAGCTCAAAGAATGATCGTTTTTTGTCACTTGAAAGACTGTGATTGCGGCATCCAAACACCACATAATTCCTTGGCACTATGCGCTGCGTGCATTGAGCGGTACGTTACTACGGTTTGTTTTCATCGGCTCGAATCTACATCCGGTCAAATAGTCAAAAGTTCCCGGATGTCCGCCCCCACCTATAGTTAGTATACATTGTCGTTACGCGTAAACCTAGTTCCAAATTAATATTAATAATAATAAATGTGTGCACATGCAGTCACAGATGAAATTGTTTTTTTTTTTAAATTAGAAGTATTAATGTAACTGATGAATTTTCTATTTGTCATATTATGAACATGTGAAATCATATGCTGATAAGGGGATACGTGTTTATTCAATAATGCATATACCGAGTTCCTGGTAGAAATAGGTTTTTTGCAAAATATGCGTACTGCATGTGTGGAACTCGAGTAATTCAAGGAATGAGTGTTTTACTATACTACCTTATTCAAAAAGTTTGAATGACCATTAGCTTTACACTTACTCATGCTCAGTGTGTACAAATGTGTATGCAGTGTGGCGACGGTAACATCCTAGTTGGCCTACTCCCATTTTGCCTACACCCATTTTGCCTACTCCCATTTCATCTACTCTCAGAATAAGTAATATAATAGTATCATTTCATCTACCACTAGTTAGTTTTATTTATTATTATATTAAAATTATTTAAAATTATATTAAAGAGACAGTAGCCTCTAGGATTTTACTGCATACAACTGTACTTACTGTATAACAAATCGTCTATACCCACATGTATTTGTCACCAGATACTTAATTA